TCGAGGGAGGGAAGAGTAGATAATAGGGGAAAAGAAAGTGTTTGAGAGTTTGAGGATACTGGGAGGAGTCCATGAAGGCAGTAGAATTAAATTCATAATCTTTAATTTCAGTATCTTTAGGCTAAAAATAAACACCTAGAACATAAATAAAGTAGTTTCTGCTGAGATATTACTATTTATATACCCTACCATTTCCTAATTTTATAATATCCCTTTGTTAGGTGATGATTTAGACCTTAACTATACAGAGAACACATAGTTTCCACTATCAAATTAATTAGTTAATTGATTTGGATGTGGCTGTAGCTGGAATATCTGCCGCACCATTAGCATCCCCGCCTTTCATCGGGTGCCATTGAACCCGGGGCTTTCTCTCTCTCTCTCTCTGTGATACGCTAGAAGTCGCTGTTATTTTGGGAAAACTCCCATACCAGAGCCCTCCCACTCCACACCGAAATCCCCGGAAAATCCACGCTTGTACGCTGCTCCCCGCCTGCCAGCCTGCCCTCGGCTGTCTCGGTTATTTACGCCAGCGGCGCAACGTTGAAAGCAAATTGATATCATGTGGATTTGGCTTTCACTTTGTGGAATCAATAGGCGAAATCCTTTGGCAGAGCCTGGCACAGACCCACTCTCAGCCACCACGCAGTTCCTACAGTTCCCTCCCTTCTTCCCCGTACATATAGCTACACTGCCACTCGAGCTAAGCCAAGGATAATGATTATGTTGCGCAACGACTCGACTCCGAGAATGGGGAAGGCTTTTGCATAGCGCACTTTGCTGAAAGAGGGGGGAAGTGGAACGAGGGATTTTGTAATCGACAGACAATCGACGTGAACAACATAATGGATATCGAACGGGAAGCGGAGAGCCCGAGTATCCCACAGCCCCCAAAAGCATACTTCAAGGCATTGCAACTAATTGGCTTTCCTTAAATGGCAGACAATGCGGGTCGGGTCCGAGGAGAAGGCGGCCATCAACCGCAGGGGATTGGGCTACGGATTGAGCTGGGCTATGGCCAATCCTCCTGTTTGTCTTCGATGCCACTTGATTGGAAAATCAAACTAATTAAAAGATTTCAATTAAACGCCGAGCTGGGAATGCTCTCGTCTTGCCACAGTAATTCCATTAAAATGGCAAATCAATTTCAATAAATTTCGCTCAAAGCGCAGCAGAGGTGCAACTGCATTTGCTACTGCAGCAGCCAAGGACTCGGCAGGTCCTGTCGCTGTTGCGCCATCATAAAACTGTTAACATGCTGACAAATCTGTTAATTGAATCGCAAATCCAATTAAAACTTCGATTCTGTTTTAGCCAGGAGAACTTTGACTAGCAAAAGTTCAAGTACATAAATGGCCAACATGTGGCCAGGACTCCGTCAGGAAGGACGCTGCTGTGTCAAGCTTTTGTAAGCAACTTTTACAGTTTTGTCACCATACATAGTTGACATTTTTATAGGAGGTCCTGGTCCCTGGCTCCGGCTTTTGCGTGTAAATTCAATAACAAATTTATGCGTTTATTCGGGGGAAACTGCATTAAAGCGCACAATTTCCTAATTAGTCTGTCTACCGCTTACACAGGCTCTGCCGGGCTCGTTACCCCGCTGCCATTTTGCATTTCTGCACGCAAAAATAGTCAAAGCGAAACCGCAAGCTGCGCATAACTAACTCAACTGCTTTATTTGGACAAACCGCAGCCGCAGTCTCACCCAGCCCAGCCCATTGGGTCTCCCATCCAGCTGCCTGGGTTGTCCTGCCTGTCGAAAAATAGAAACATATACAATTTCCAATGCAGTCCAGAGATGAGCACGCTGTGTTTACTCATGGGATAAAATTTAAGAAAAAAAGATCTCGATCAAACGATCCTGGAATATTACATAGAAAGAGTCGGAAACTGATGTTTAATTTTTCTAGAAAATTTTAATTTTATTTTATTTACAATTGTAGTATAAGCTAAATGTATTAAAAGGATTCGGGTAATTATATCGTTCTTTTAAAAATATTTAATAACATTTCTGGATGAAAAAATAAATACATTTAAAGGGTTCTAAGATAAGAAGCTTTCACTTATTTGATCTTAACATAATTATATAAAATAATAAAGATACTTATTTATAAAACATACGTACATCTAATTAAGAAACATAAATTTACCTTAGGTAAATCTAAAAATCTAAAATATAATTATTCCCAAAAAAGATGCCTCATCTCTGGCAGCTCATTTGGTTTGTTCCGGTTTCATTTCGGGTCTCCGGATCCGGGTTAGTTTCGCCGAGTGCGCCGTGTGGAGACCATTAAAAGTGCATTTAGTGAAAATTTATCTGGGCGCAGAAAGGTAGCAACCGCAGGCGCATTTTCGACTCGGCTAGCTACAAGTGTGCGTGTCCGGAAACGGAAATAAAATAATTCTGCAGGCACTCTCGACAGGCAGTTGCAATAGCAACAGGAAGTCCCAGTCTCTGCTGCCCTTTTATCCCCAGGATATCTCCTGGATATATCCGTTTGCCTGTAAGTTTGTATTTTCGTCTGTCTGTCTGTTTGTTTGTTTGTTTGTCTGTCTGTCTGTTTGTTTGCTTGCTTGCCTGCCTGTTTGGCGTTGGTGCGAAGGTTTTACTGTTTATGCAAATGCTTTTGGCCCACGAATGCTTTAACCGAAAACACTTTAACCGCATTCACCTTGGGCCTGGCTGCTTGTTAGTAGCCATTGAGCACAGAACAGACAGGCAGAACAGCGCCGTGTCCTGGCCCCAGTTACTGTTGGTCCTGCTCCACGGGACTCCGCTTCTCCACCGCCTGGACTGCTGCCCAAACGGCCGTAAAATGCCTGCAAGTTACCGCCATGTGCCCCTTGGCTGCTGTTCCCGAAAAATGTTTCATTGCCGGCGAGTATTGGAGTCGAGATCCTTCTGCTGCAGACACCTCCTCCGGAGCACCGCCTCCGCTTATCCACCTTCATGGCTGCCTGGGTTTCTATTATGTAGCATATCGTAATCTCACTTGAGTCAAAGGTTTAGCAGCAGACACCCGAGCAACACCCGCACAAACACCGTCGTCAGCTAACACTTTGTAAATAGTCATCGGCGTGTTTATTACTCAGCCGTGCCGGAGTGTCTGCCAGCACGTCCTGCTCGTCCTGCCCTTCAATTCCGTTGTATTCCCGCAGCCGTGCGGTCCTGCGGTTAGTTGTTAGTGTTGCCGAGTAATCGCTGTTGCGAAAGATTTTCAGTATCCTCGCATTCAGTAGTCAGCATTCAGGAGGCGTGTGTGTTCGCTTGACTTCTCGCTTAATGAAAGTACAGTTTAAACTTTGCATATCCTGAGAGCAACGAGGGATAACGGAAACTAAAAGTAAATGAAAGTTGAAACTTGCGTATAGTTTTTATACTTTTGTAAATACTAATAGTTTCTTCTATGAGTTTATTTTGATATTGGGGAAACTTTTTTACATCATTGAATAACAACGTATTATTCACCTGTGTATTGTTTACTGTATTTAAATTTAAAATTTTCTTTATTTCTGTGAATTTATTTTGGAATTGGAATATATTTTATATTGAATTCTATTCACTGCCTAGTTTTCTGTATTTTATAACCAATTTTAATTTAATTTTGAAGTCCTTAATTATTTTTCTCTATTGAAATAAATTTTACCAAACCAACCACATTCAATTTTTGTTCATTTGTAAAATTTTTGCCTTTATAGAGGTAACCTTTTATTTAATTTTAACTCTTCAGTTATTAAATACAAGTAAACAGGGATTAAATTCTACTTTTGCTGTGAGTTTAGTTGAAAACTTTACCAACAGCTCTCTGCCTCTATCATCACGGAGAGTAATTGGTAACTGCTACTTAGAGGCACTAACTACACTCGCTGCCAGGATATTTCAGCCGGCATTTCCCTCTTGACGTCACACCAACTGGCGAAAACAAAACAAAACAAACATTTTGCCTCGCACGAAATTTATCGTTTGCATAAATTTGCTTTATTGCCTGGCTCTCCTGCTGCCTGTGCGGGGTGAGTTAGTGTCCTGGCTGTGGGTGTCTCTCTCTGTGTGTGTGTGTTTGTTGCCAACGGAAGTGTAACTTTCGCTACCAGGCCAGACAAGGCAACAACAACAGCAGTGAGTCAAATGCGGCGAACAAAGTTTTCCATTATTCAATTTAACTAATGAAACTGAAAATTCATTTTACCACATTAACAAACACACACACACAGAGGGATAGAAAGGACTAAGGACGAAGGCAGGAAATGTGACTCGCCTAAGGCCAGGACATGTGTGCGTGCCGGACTCCTGTTTTTCGGGGTCTCCACATTCCGGTATTTGAACAGCCATAAAGCGCGGAAATTTATATTCGGGACGAACTCAACAAGGACGACCGCGGCAAGGCGCCACCCCTAGTCTATGTTTCTATGTGTGTGTTGGCATTTAAATAATTAAGTATATTTTTTGGGCCCTCATTCGAATGTCCATTTGCGAGTTCCATAGGCGGTTTTAAATGTCATGAATTACAGCCTTCAACTTCTTGATGGTCTTTATCTGGGGAACTTATCAGAAACAGGCTCATTTACAGAAATGTTTTACACAAATCTTTCTTGGGAATAGTTTAGGTATACTGTGGGCCTTAGTAAAGATTTAGTATGATTATAAGTATATTAATATTTAAGGTTTTTAAAAAGTAATTATCAGGTAAACTTATCGCAAAGAAAATATATAATTATTGATTATTGCTGTAAAAAAAAGGGATAATATTTTCTAAATTTAAGATTAATTAGTTTAAAATAAATACAAACAGGACCTATAAGATTTGTTTACCTACTTCGTCGTTTAAAATATATAAATTAAAATGTGCTCTTCAAAGTTAAGCTTAAATACTTTATGCTTTTTTTAGGCCAACTTCAACAATTAAAATTTTAATACTAGACTTTTATGTTTATATTTTCGACATATTTCATTTCATTAAAATAAAGATTTCGCCTTTGTTAAGACAATAAAATGTTCATTTTTATGAGAATCTTTAAATGACGTACCATTTTTATTATTTTATTGCTTCAATTGGAATTTTGTTGATTTAATGAATATTACTGGGTTATAAAGGAATCTGTTGAAAAGCTAAATGCTGGTGCGCTACTCGTCATCCTCTAGGTCGTCGTCCTCCGAGCCATCGTCCATGTCATCACTAATGGTGTTGCTGTCGGCGCTATTGAACTGCCCATCATCGTCCTCGTCATCGTCAGTGTCCTGCTCATCCGCACCATCTTCGTCCAGGTTGTCTTCAGCACTGGCTTCCGCCTCCTCGCTCTCCGGCGAGTGAGGCTCCGCCAGGTTAAAGGTTTCCAATGGCACAGAGCCCACCGCCACATGGTCGCCGTTGCCAAGGTCTTGGCGATGGAGGAGCGATGGCGCTGCCTCCAACTGTGCAGGGTTTCTTTTGCCCGCCGTTTCCGGGGTCTTTGGACGAGATGAAGCCGGCTGCTTGGGCAGAGAATTCTCCTCACCGGCCGCGTTGCGATTCCGATTATGCTGTGAGTTCTGCTCCCTGCCTGAGGCCGAGGCCGACATATTATGTGGCTGGAGCAGCGGCATGACGTCCGGCTCGATCGTTCGCTCGTATTCCGTGAAATTGAACAGCGGCGGAAGTGGCCGGCCATTCGGCAGCTGCTGGGTCGGATCGTGACGAAGGTCGTCGAAGAAGGGATGCGCACAGCCCATCAGCGGTGAGACCCGGGCATTGGGCGAGTAGATGAGCATCTTGGATACAAGGTCAATGGCCTCTGCCGGCGTGCGGATCCTGAAGACCTTGGCCCAGGGATGTGGCTTCAGCTGCGGCAGCTTGAACTGCTTGTATTGCGGATTCATATCGTGTAGCTGCTCCGAGGTCGGCGTACCCATCACCTTGACGATCTCCACGATCTGATCAACGCCCGAGTCGCCCGGGAAAAGAAGCTGTCCGAGCAGCAGCTCGGACATGACGCAGCCGGCACTCCACACGTCGATCTTGGTGTTGTACTCTGTGGCCCCGAAGATGAGCTCCGGGGCGCGGTAGTATCTGGAGCAGATATAGGATACATTGGGCTCCCCATGGACAAGCTGCTTGGCGCTGCCAAAGTCGCATAGCTTGAGTACACCCGACTCCGTGTCCAGGAGCATGTTTTGTGGCTTGATGTCCCGGTGGCAGTAGCCAATGCTGTGCAGATAGGCCATGCTCCGCAGCAGTTGGTACATGTACAGCCGGACATAGTTCACCGGCAGCGTCTGCTTGACCCGGGCGTACTGGCGCTCCACCTTGTAGAGCGTCTCCGGCATGAACTCCATCACCAGGTTCAGGTAGACCTCGTCCCGCTTCTCGCCGCTGGAGAAGAAGAAGTACCTAAGGGTGACGATGTTGTCGTGGCGCAGCTTCCGCATGATCTGCAGTTCGCGGTTCTTGAAGCGCCGGTCCTGCAGAACCTTCTTAATGGCCACCTGCTCGTTGGAGGGCACCATCTTGGCCTGGAAGACCACGCCGAAGCTGCCGTTGCCAACGACCTTGGCGTCCGTGTAGCTGATCTCGGTCATCACGTCCGGCCCGTACGCATTGGTGGCTATCACCGTGGTGACCTTGTTGGCCAGGCCATTATTATTGCTCTTGCCCTGGGAAGCCATCTTCGCCCCACGCCTTCTTGGATCCTTGGTTGAGTGTGTTAACTGGCTGTTTCTCGGTGCTTTTTGTACATAAAACTGTGCGCCGACGAATTCAAGTGTAAGTATGTAATTTTTTTATATAAAATTTCGAGTTTGAAGTCTCTCACCAGGGTGGCTGAGATTAGAGCGGCGTCTTTGTGCTGGGTTTATTGAAAGCGAGTTTTCCTGTTGGCTTTTATGGCCCTTGACATTAAACAAATATAATAAACATAAACAAATATAATAAATGTCATGCAATAAGCCGAGGCTTAATTTAATTAAAGAAAACTCTTTTTTACTTTCTACTTTAATTTTCCTTAACTTTTTTTGCTTACGAGAATTGTTTACTTTTGCATGTTATCGGAAGGTTGCAGCTTGCAAAGCTTAAGCTATCGATAGTGTAGCCGATATGTGCGTTATGTTATCTATTGCAACTCTACGACGGGAGAACGATCACTAACTACTTCAGTGTTTATTTATTCATTTCATATTAAGTGGATTTTTTAATGTAGGAAACTTAAATTTGGTTTTAATAAATGAATTTGTGTGGCGTTACTCTGTTTGAATTACGTCAAGCGGCAATTTAAAGAATTTAAGTCAACTAAAGCCAGCCAAAAAATCAACTTTACTGAAAACGGAAATGGACTTGTAAATATGTATTAACGGACTCAGTAGAGGTAGGTCTCAAATGTACAAAAAGGCCAAATAATTTAATTAAATAAAAAAATTAAATTTTGTATGCAGATGCTTAGAACACCTTTTCGAATTAAATTTTAATGCATTTTTAACATAGTTATGATAGATTTCGCCCCCCTGACTTTATTGGAAGGTTATACAAATCTCGGCTAACCGAAATTAGCTCTCTTTCTAGTTTGTTTATTAATAAACAGCTAAGAACACTAATTTTCCGGGCTTGCATCTTCATTAAAACAAATACTCTCGTATGGATAAGGGATTAATTTAGTTTACATCATCAAGAATTCATGTATGTATTATATTTCATAAACAGAAGACAAAAAGAGACGTATACGTAACGGAGCAGTCCAGATAGTTTGAAATTACTATGGTATCCTATGCGAACATAAGGAAATGGGATCCCAAATAATAATAATTATCCAAAGCATATTTGTAAACACATTCTAATTGTTAAACAAAATAAATAAAACACTTTGTTGAGCTTTGCAAAAATTACTTAAAGTACCCTCAGTAACCCCTTCTTGTTTGTCCTGGGATAAAGTCTGCAAATTATAGCTATAGCAATCAGATACTTACAGTACTTACTAGTGTTGCTGTCAAAAACGGAAACTTGGTATTTAAAAGCTGGCACACTCATAATTTATAAGGACCGGTTGTAGTTCTCAGTTTATTCGCTGTAGTGGAAACTGATTCCTTAGCTCAGCTAGTTGAGATTGCTTTTGGCCCTCTTTGTTACCAGGGACACTTGAGCTGAGCTTATGCAAGGCAAGGCAAGGCAAGGCAAGGCCAGGCCATTCATAATTCGTGAGGGGCATTCCTTTGTGCTGCCAGTAACTTGGCTAATTTCTCGGACCTCGAACTCAAACCCGAACCCCTGGCATTGTCGCCGCCTTGAAAGTTGCGCCTTTGTCTTCTGGCATCTTGGCTGCTTATCACCGGGCATTCGCCCTAACTTGACTTAACTTGGCCCGAGCGCTGACTTGGCCGTCCTGTCCACGGGCTGGCTTATCTGGCGGGGACTTGGCTGCTGCTGTGTTATGCTTTTTACTGTTTCGCTCCGGCTCAAGTGGCCCGGAGGGTGGCATTCCTTCTTATTTGGCCCCAGATAGCGGCGACCCCACTTTAGATAGCCAAGTCAAATGGAATAAAAACGCGCTTTGTGAATGCTTGTATTTTTTTTTTGTATAAAATGTCGCTCGCTGTTTATTTTTTATTACTCGTAATTTTATTGTATATATTAGATATATATTTATATAAAAGTGACACACTCATTGTAAAATCTTGTTAGAGACATTAATCGTATATATTTAGGTTTCCCCTTCGTTTACACCAATTTGCATAAGATTGTATAAGTGTTTTTAATCGATAATATTTCATATGCATTCCGTATTCGTTTCAAACACACACAAAATCGTTGAGTAATATTATATTTCCTTTGACTCTGATTGAAGTCGCTAAAAGAGAGCAAGAGTGAGGAGAGGGGGACTGGGGACTGCCCGGTAATTCGATATTTACATAATTCAAGAGGAAGGAAGGACCACAAACGGACGGACTTAAAATACTTGCAAATGATTAAACTAAGCTAAATAGGGCTTAAAATATATATGGTCAAAGGTTCTCCGCTTGCGTGGCTGTTTAACTAGGCTTACACAAATATTATTGAAATTGTTGGACGTTGTTGGCATAAGTAAGTAAGTAGTTTTCGGGGCTACAGACAAATAGTTTTGCATATTAGAGTATATTTTATTTAAATTACATACATATGTAGGCTATTACATTTATTTGGCTTTTCTCGTTGCTGCTGCTGCTGCTGCTGCTGGCAGTAAAATTAAATTTTACATAATTCTGTGTGCTCTTGTGTAAGAGGCATTATTTAAATGCGTATCAAATTGGTTCTTAGTAGTTAATAAAAACGTATATTTAATTTACTTCCAGGCCCACAAACACACACACACACACGACGGCTATGGCAGATATGCAGGATACAAGCACAACAATAAAATTTTATATTTATCGCTAACGATTTCCTTGTATCTGTGTATCTGCGTATCTGCGTGTCCTTGTGTGTGCGTGTGCCTGGCGAGCATAAATATGTTTGTGCTGCCTACTTTTTCGGGGGGCCGGGCCCAAGTCTTCGCTTCCTTGGCAGTGTCTGGCTTGTGCGCATATTTTAATAAATTTTATGCCGCTGAAATGTGCGCCGCTTATCATTAACGCACAATTTATTTTTGCTTTTATGCTCTGGCCCAGAGCCGGAGCCCGGCCCCCCAATTGCTGTTGTTTATCTGTGAGATACATTTGCTTTTTTGGCTTTTGATTATTCGCGTCTTAAGCTAACTTCTCGTTTCTGGTTTTTTGCTTAGCTGATTAAGTTTCTCGAACTCGAAAAATACCCCGGAACTAAAGTATATATACACAGAGAGAGAGAGGCTCGCTACATTATCTATTTACATGTTGGCATAATGTGCATTTAATTTGCAAACCCGCAACGCAATGCGAAACTTTTAGCTCAACTTTGGCCCCGCCGGCTTTTAAATGTTGTTTATTGTTGCTCAGCTCTGCTTGTTGATGTTGCTGCTCGTGTGTGGCTGCTGCTTTCCATAGCATACTTTTCTGCCAGGGCCCGCATGTAGTTTCCATTTAACTTTCCACTTACATGTTGTTTATTCTTTTCTAGAGCCAAGCCTGCTCTTGTTCGTAGAGCTGCTGCTGCTGTTGCTGTTGCTGCTGCTGCTGTTGCTGCGAGTGTTGCTGCTGCTGTTGCTGCTGCTGCAGCCAAAGTTTGCAGAAGGCTGTGGGCGGCGGGTTGGAGGGGCAGGCTGTGCCGCCAGCTGTTACTGCATGGGCGTGGTCGGGGGGCTTTGGCTATTGCAAATTAAATTTAGCTAATTCTCACAATTCTGTGCTCATTTCGCTTACAATTGCGCTCTGTAGTTCGCATTGTTGTTGTTTTGCAGTGGCAGTTGCAGTTGCAGTTGCAGTATTTGCAGTAGTTCGTTGCAGTTCCATGAAAAGAAATGCGGTTTGCAGTGGAGAAAGGGGAGAGAAGAGAGAGAAAATATTTGCATTTGTTAGAAAAAGTTGCCTTGCTGTTGATTCGATTTTCGCATTTAGGTTTTCCACTCCCTGGGTGAGTGAGTGTGCGTTGTGCGTGTTAAGTGTGTGTCGTGTGGAGAGTATAAGTAAGTCTGAGTCAGGGGGGCTTGTTAGTTTTTTCTAGCGACTACGGTGCGTATACGTTATATTGTGCTTTTCAATTCGAACAAAAATTAATGTACAAAAAAGTATAGTTTAAGTGCCGCTCGCCACAGTTTATGGCCGCAGTAAATCCAGCTTTATCGCCTCCGGCTGCCACAAATTGAATACTTTTTATCATTCCAGTTGGCGCCGTAGCACAAATAATTACTTAATTTAATCATAAACCAAAAAAGAAATCCAAAATGTACCCTGGGTGGGGGTGAGTTTTTATATAGCCATTCATAAGCTTATCTCTCCCCCTCCGGAAAAAATGTGCGTCAAATTTACGATTGCCACTCGGGCACTTTCAACATTTTCAGCACTTTTCCTCCTCCCTGCTCCGTCCCCCTGGCTTTCCCTTTTTTCCCACCCCGTTTTCTATTTTCTTTCTGTGACAAAAATGCGTAAAGTTTTTGCCATTTCGCCTTTGTTGTTGCCGCCGCTTTCCTCGATGGCGTGTTGGAAAACCCACAGCCACAAGTCGCGATGGGCTCCAAATGGCCGAAAGCCAGGGGTTAAGGGGTTTTCGGCGTGGAGAAGGGAAGAGGGACATATCGGGGACGGAAAAACAAGAGCTGTCGTTGCTGTGCCAAGGTCGACCCTTTGTGGGAATACTCTATTCAGAGATAGGGTTGTGCGATGCATAGGATTAGGGTTAGGATGTAGGTACCCTTCAAGAAAGTAAAGCGATTTTTCAAGAAATATACACAAAAGACAGTTAATAGTTTCAATTTAAAATGTTTTCTAGGCTATAGAATTAAAATTATCTATATCAGAGGTAAAATACTTAAAGAATTTTTGTTTAGATTTATAAATAAGAAAGGACTCATTTTTATGGTTTATTCTTCATTCTTCACTAACTTTATTCCTTTGAGAAACTTTCCACTTTGTTCGTATTGTCCAATATACATATTTAACTTAATTAAAGTAAAGAGTAACCAAAGGTTGGAATCCCCTAGAGGCTACCATTTTCCCTTTCAACTGTTTGATATTTTTTGTTCGCTTCTACAAAATTTTGTTTATTTGGCTCCAAAGTATTTCTACGATATGAAATGTTTGCCTAGCCTGGTTGTATTTTTTTGTTGTTATTTTTTCTTTCTCATGGATGTCGTTGTTACCAACATTGCGCCTTTTTGCTTTCATCGCTTATTTTTTTGTGGGTTTATTTTTGTTTTGTGGCCTGTTGTTTTGTTGAAATTTGTATTTATGTGCGGGTCGGAGGAGGCACAGGGACATTGGCATCGGGGCATCGAGCCGGCAGAAGTATCATTTACCCGGCTCGCTTTTTCCTAGCCTCGTATATTTTAATGTTTCTGTGTGTGTGTGTGTGTAAGGGAGTGTTTTGTGTCCTATCATATTTTCCCTCAATGTGTGTGTTGGTTTGTGGGGAGGCCTTTTGTCTTCGTGTGCTGAAAATTATGTATATTTTTAGCACTTTCGCTTGTTTTGTTTTCGCTTATCGAGTTTGAAGGTCATTTACTTGCAATTCCCAGCTCGCCTGCCGGGTTTATCACACACATTCCGTGTGTATGTATGGAATGAATGTTGGTCTGTCTGCTCGCCTGGCTGGGTAGTTAATTTGTTGTGAAATTGTCATTTTGTTGCTTCAATGGCTGCGTGCAATGCGGCGTATGAGTAATTTTTTTCAACGCCATAGCATACTTTCTGGGTGTGCGTTAATGAGGCAAACAGAGAGATCCAGCGGACATTTCTGGCTGTTTCATGGGTTCCCCCGAATTAAATTGACATGTTTAAAGTCAATTTGGACCAAGTTTGGCTCGTAAACAACGCGGCAGAACAGAACAGAATCCGCCCCAATGACATTAACCTATTCATTTGTAAATAGGCTGTCGAATTTCCTGGTAAAATTCACCCCCACTGCCTCAGCTCGGGTCGGCTTACATAAATATTTGTGCGTTTTTGTTGCCTTGCCAAGCGTAAAAACGTCGAAGACGTCGAAGGAAAATCGGGAAATCGGAGGGAAAAGCAAAACAAACGGCTCACGCAGCAGCGCAGTCAAATCAAATGTAAATCCAGAACGAAAGCAAGAAGCAAGTGAAATTGAAATGAAAATGAATGTTGGCCCAGCCATTGTTCCGAGCTTCCTTCACTCGATTGTTATCGTTGTCGCCTCCCTCCCCTCCCACCAAACCCTAAAGGCAATTGAAAATTGGCAGCTGGCTGCCTGGCTGGCTGATGGGTTGGGTGAGGAGGCCAAAAGCCCAACGGGGGCGTTGCCTTACCCGCGTTGCGTAGGCCTAACGGGCACATTAATACATAATTTATAATGTTTTCGTTCCGTTTTGTTTTCGCACACTTAAAGGAGATGTTTCGGGTATTCCCCTGTATCTTTTCATTGTCTTGGGTTGAGGATTGAGGGTGGATTTTTTAAATTTTCCGAGATGTTCAATAAAATTTAATGTTCCACGGGGAAAATGGGGTCACAAAGACAAAAGGTATCCTCCGGGTCATAATCACTTGCTAAGGACTTAATTTAATTGAAATTGGAGTTCTGTTGGATTTTTTAAATTATAAATTATTAAAAGTCATAAGAATATTTTTTCTTTTTTATAATAAATTAAAGAAATCTATTAAAATCCTAATAACTTAAGAAAATGCTACGCTGACACTGTTTTGTTTATGGGGATTTCTTCTCTTCAGAATTTCTAGTTTAGTTCTCATTTAAAATAAACCACAATACACTTTGATGTTCTTCGTAAAAGGATTTCAACAATGTTTAACAAGACTTTAAAACAAAGGCTGTATTGTCCATCTGCTCTTAACATTTCTATCTGGGTCTAACGTAACATCTCAAAGCTAAAACTTCAACATTATCCAGAACAAAAGTGGATATATACACACACACAGACACAATGTGCCATTCAGGCTCGACTTCAATCCAAACTGGGAACAGAAAAAAATTGCAATTTCCAACTAAGAGGGGACAAAGTCACTTCTGTTGTTTATTCCTTGCTATCATGCAGGTCAAAGGTTGTATCGGTATCGGTATTATTTCTTTGTTAGCTACAAAAAAAAACGTAGAACAGAAAACAGTAACAAGTAACAAGTAACTTGCAACTGAAACGGAAACGGAAACAGGTAGCACAGTTGTACCTACATTTCAAGCGGTACTCGAACAAACGGAACCGAAAACAAACTGAAAATATAAAACTTACCGTCGACTACTTTGGATAATTGGCGATAGGATTATCTCTAAGCTGGAGGAAATGTTTTGATTTTGTTGCAGATTGGAGTTCGTTGCTGCAGTGGCTGCTGCTACTGCTGCCGCTGCGGTGCCAGTTGATGTTGCAGCTGCTGCGGTTGTGGGGGTGGTGGGGTGTTCATTCGCATTCGCATTGGAGGTGGCTATGGCTTTTGTTTGGCTATTGGAGTGACTATTGGTGGTGTGGTGGCTACTGGTATTTGGATTCTGATGCGGATGCGGGTTGGCATTGGCATTGGGACAATTTAACGTTTGGCCGGCCGAGGTAATTGGCCCCAGTTGTTTCGCCATCTGCTGACCGCCGTAGACATTCGCATTGCAATTATCGAAATTAATATTGCCCGTTGTCGATGACGTCGATTGCCTATTGTTGTTGTTAATACAGTTGCCGACGGAGCTGTTGTTGTTGGTGCTATTGTGACTTCCGGTGGGCGACATCAGTGGGGCATCCGCATCGAACATGTCCTCGGCCTCGGCTGCCTCGTCGTCGGTATCTTCGGTCTCGTCGTTGGTCATCTGGGCATCCTGTTGCATGGCCTCCAGGACGAGCATGGCCTCGTCCTCCTCACTGCAGGAGTGCGACGACGAGTGCGCCGTCTGTCCCATCCAATTTCGATTTCGGTTCAGGGGTTAGGGATACAGTATCGGTTTCGGTTTCGGGGGGTTGGTTCGGTTTTTGGAGTGGTTTGAAAATACAAACAAGGTTTAGCTTTCTTGCAGGCGGTAGGGGGCTCTAATCAGACACTATTGCTTATTAATTTTAGCACAACCGGGCATGCACTTACGAGTCTATATAGTTGTTTATCACAATATTGTTATTACTAATTTAACATAACAGATATATATATATGACTAGGCACAAAACACAAACAACTGCGAATTAGGCATTCAGATACATGCGATACGAACGAATGTCATGCTGTTTATCCACAATTTCAATAGGTAAATAATATTACAATTTGGCAAAATATTGACAAAATCAACCAAATATGCTTCGATGGTATTTTAATTAATTTACACAAATTGCAATAGAGGGGCGAAGGCCCATTGTTGCCACGGGGCGCAACTTTCGCGTTGCACAATTTTAATTACATACAGTGAAAGGCTGAGAGAAATAACAACAAAAACAATTGCAATAGCCAGAATCAACAATGGCAAATGCCAATGCTAATGGTAATGGTAACAAAAGTCCGCCTGATTGCGTTCACCGTGGCCCGCGGCCAAACAGCTGACCAATGGAATCAAACCGCGCACACAGGTGGGTTAAAGTGGGCTGGGGTGGGTTATAGGGGGAGCTAAGGGGGGTTACACAGGGAGTCAGGGTGGTTTACAGGTATGTTCCCCCTCGAATGCGCCCTGCGGTCTCCTGCTGATTGCACCGTGGCTAGCCTTTCCCTGTTATTCCCTGGGTTAGTTAACTTGGTTTGGTGGCCCCTTTAAAAACCCCCCAGCAACAAAAAAAGGCAGT